CAAATCCTGCACCATGTGAGCCACGCCGGGCGCAAGCGGGCCGCGGGAGGAGAACAGGGTATCGCCAAACATTTTGAGGGTACAAAGTCGGACGAGTGAGGGTTTGATGAAAATATGAGTACCGTGCTCACGAGAGAATGCGTGGATGCTGAGGAGCTCAAGTGCAGTCGAATGAAGTGAAACGTAGAATGTGAAAAGTAGAAACGGGAAAAATGCCGAGGCGTTTGCGATTGACGGTGCGACCTTGACTGGTGAGTCATCACTCGTCTCGCAAAACAAGGTCCATTCATTGAAATGAATGGAAATACCATCCATTTGTTGCAGCCCCCCCACGGGCCACCCGAGTAGGCTCGGACGAGTGAGGGTTTGATGAAAAGATGAGTACCGCGCTCACGAGAGAATGCGTGGACGCTGAGGAGCTCAAGTGCAGTCGAATGAAGTGAAACGTCGAGGCGCCGCTGCACCCATGATATTACATCAAACATTCTTTGCTTCCAAAAGGGTGCGTGAGCAACGCTTTCAATAAAATTTGGACACGTAGAAGAGGAGTCCGATTAGACGATGATTTTTTTTTTTTTAATGTAAAGAGCGTGAATTGGAGGGATGGGAATGTTTTGGGGGAGGGGGGGTGCAAAAGAACACCTGAATGCTTTTCCGCATTCCCCCACTGCTAATGCTGATATTTGTGTGTTGTCAGGTTGCCGTCTTCTCTTCTTGTTGTACAGAAGCGGCGAGCCGGCGTGAGCCGGGCTCGCTCAGACAAACCGTAAGGGACCTAAACCAGTAGTTCTAGTCAAGTGAATGTTGGGACTGTGCCGTGACCTGGCATCTCTCCTCCTTTTATCTTTATTTATTTTGAGGGCGGTGGGCGGGGGGTGTCCCTCTCTCTCTACTCAGTTCTGCTGCTAATACAAACGTCCAGCTAACTACTGAATGAATGAATGTTTTTTTTTTTTAAGCGACTGTTCATCTATTGAATGTTACTTCAGAACTTTAAGAGCCGCCTTCTTTCTGAGGTGAGAGGGGGGCCGTTCAGACAGGGTGCCGTGCGTGGAGGCAACTTTTCTGGCGTGCGCGCGCACGTGTGCACCGCTTGCCTTGGCCTTGTACGCGCAGATCTACTTCGAATAGTGATCAAATGATTCATGCCTGGCTTGAGTGCCCGAACATGCGAGCGCAAGACGGAAATCAAGCATGCCACTTTCTTGATGCGTGTGTCAAAAGGTTTACCTGCTCGCTACACTAAAGCTTCTCAAACTGGGGTTTCCGGACCCCCGGGGGTGCCGAAAATAATCGGGAGTGAGTGATGGTGTGGGGTAATTTTCAAAATAAATGGGGTGGGGGGCCTGCAATTAATCGGGTCTCAAAATACGGGACTTGGGATCATGAAAAATACCACAAAATAATGGCTACGCTTTGATCGAGGACGTTCTGGTCAAAAATGTCACCACCCCTGTGAGGGGGTCGCTGGACCCCGAAAGTTTGAGAACTCCTGCACTCAACTCACAAGTTAACCTTAACCTCCCAGGAAGTAAACAGGGCGGGGCTTCCGTGTTGAAAATGCCCCCAACCCCCCCCAAAAAAAAAAAAAAAAAAAAACACTTGAACAGCACAGCGAATGTGAGAGCGAGTGAATGTGAAAGTGCCTTTTTTTTCCATGTTTTGTCGGGTTCGGGGTTCAGGGGGGTCGCACCACACACGCATGTCCAGAAGGAAGCGCTGCAGCACTCGGAATGAAAGAAATCTCACATGAACCCATGGTGACTTTTTTTGCACTTAGGAAACCGGATGTATGTACTCGGCATGTAGCATCATCACATGTTGATGCGTTGGGGGGGAGGGGGGGGGTGAAAAGAGGAAAACTCTTCTCGTCTGTTGGTGTTGATGTGTTTGAAGCCCGAGCTTCCGTCACGTGAGCTCATATATAGTAGCCAAAATGAATCGTATCAATGTCTCGTATTTATATTCCAAATAAATTACAACTCAAGCCCACACAGCATTTCGGGTTTTTTGTTTTTCATTTTCTTAAATCCACTTTTGTGAAAGTGCCTCAAGTGCAAAATATGTCCAACTCTTTTATTCTAATGAATTCCAATGAAAACGATACCGAGTGATTATGATGAAGCCATGAAAGCACAGATGTCAAAGTGCGTTCCTGGAGTCTGGCCTGCGTTCCGTGTCTCCCTGCTGCAGCGCACCCGATTCAAATGATCAGGATCATTCTCAGGGTCCCAAAGAACTTGCTGATTGAGGAGCTGATCATTTGGATCAGGTATGTTGCAGCAGGGAGAGACGGAAAACAGGCAGGACCGGACTTGGACACCTTTGCATGACACAGGAACACGTCAAATTGTGACATTTTTCTCTCGATGAAACAACCAGATGACACCAAATTCATGCGGTTACTGGCCTGGTCACAAACAACAATAAAAGTAGCGGAGTTCATTTTCGCTGATTATTTCAATAATGCCAAATGCCACAAGATGCGTTTGCAATCTTTATTGAGGCAAAAATAAATAAATGGAGGGGGCGAGGGGGGCGAAGCCAAGCCCTTGCCATCCAAACGGAACGAAGAGGGAGATGAAAAGTCAAAGTCCGGCCCAAGTCTTGGACGCGGCGCCCTCCTCATCCCTTGGAGCCCGGCTTGAGGGTGGCGAAGGGCTTGGAGTTGCGCAGCGCGCCGCAGATCTCCTGCAGGAAGGCCACCACGTTGAGGTCCCTGTCGGACTTGCGGCCGTCCAGGATGACCACCAGGGTGAAGTGCGGCTCGGGCCGGGCCAAGTAGTAGGTGCTCTGGACCTTGTCGTCGTAGAAGTGCACCACCTTGTCGGGCGCGTTGAGCTCGGCGGCGCGGTCGCCCATCATCATGACCACGTTGGGCCAGTGCGTGAGCGGGCGCTCGCCCGATGGCAGGGACACCACGGCGGGGAACTGCTCCACGCCCTTGGGGGGCTCGCGGTACGAGCGCGGGTGGTGGTAGCCGTGGCCCTGGAAGCTCTCGGAGCCGCGGTTGTCGAAGACCAGCGACACGCTGGCGCCGTCGTGCCTGCGGACGAAGGAGCAGATCTTGCCGTGGTAGTCGGGCGCGGCGCGGGCGGTCAGCGCCCGCATGTCGGCCGGCGTGGTCTGGCGGCTCAGCGCCTCGTGGAAGTAGAAGCTGAACTTGGCCAGGAGGGCCGCCTGGAAGCGCTGGAGCCAGGCGTAAAGGTGCGGCGGCTGAACGCTCCTCTGGGACTGGCCCCCGAAGAGATGCTTGCGGGTCTCCTTCTGCCGCTGGAAGAGCTGCCCCCACGCCGTCAGCTTGACGGCGGCGCCGTGCAGGCTCAGCAGCGCCGGCAGGAAGCGCCACTCCGACACCTGCGCCTGGCAGCGCAGCAGCTGCGTCACCACGTCCACCTCCGTCTGGAAGCTTTCCTCCACGCGGCCCAGGATGGGGTGGTGGAACCTGGGGGAGATCCTCAATTCAGCGCCGCGCATGCGGGGGAGGGGGGGGGGGCCTCGGCGGCCTGCCCGTTTTTGGGCTTGGACATTTTTAGACCATTTCATGCTCCTCATAGTACACGTGGCACGCAGGCGTCAGGGATGGCTTATTCCCACGCGGGCTGGCACTTGCTCGTCCGTCCCTGGAGACAAGGGGGCTGCCCGCGTTCAGTACTTTTCTCCCTCTGACGTCGGCATCTTTGTGTTTTGGGTTTTCTTGGCCGCAATTAACGTCATGCTCCTCCTGTACGATTCTTGATGCGCATAAAGGAAAAGCCACCTCATCGGAAGAACATTTCAGCCGGTCGGAGGCTTGAAAAAGGCTCGTTTCCAAAGAAGGTCACGCCAACGGCAACCGGACGGACCGACTCGCTCCTCAGTGACACACTGAAATGTATGGCCTGGGAATGTGGATCCCAAATTGATCCTCAAAGCTGATCTCAGTTTTAACTGTTTACTTGATTTATGATTTTGTGGTTTGTTTTATTTTCCCTGAAGCCAACAAAGCTTTTGTTTTGTTTTTTTCGGTATTGAATTGCACCCACTTTTAATTGTGGTTTGTCTGCTTTTGTGAAAAGTCGCCCAACTCACAAGTGTTGCATTTTTAAACGTGCTCTCTGAATAAACGTGATTCATTGATTTATAATTCCCCCCATTTCACAGTTAATTTCCATGGAATGTTTCTCATTTGGTTTACCTCTGAAATTCTCCCCATGGAAATTGACCGTCTACGACCCGGCCCTTGTTCGGACTCACCTGGAGCTGTACTTGTGCATCACGGCGTCCAGCGCGGTCGCCAGCGCCTCGCCGTTGACGTTCTTCTGTCCGGCCAGCGCGTGCATCTTCTCGTAGAGCTCGGCCATGTCCACGCGGGCCTGCGCCAAGTGGCACAGCTGCTCGGCCAGGTGGCACAGGAGCTCCTCCAGGTACGCCGACGACGAGCCCTGCTGCTGCCCGTGCCGCCCCAACGTCACCACCTTGCGCAGCTCGTTGTGCAGAGACGTGTAGATGGTGCGCGTGGAGTCCTTGCGGCTGAAAAACGACTGACCTCCTACAGTGCGACAAAAGGGGAAAAAAGTGGGCAGGTCAGACAAACGCTGTACTGCGGCACCCTCTGGTAGATACACAACAAACAGGCAATAGATTTTTTTTCCACTTTGTCACAGGTCTCATCAGACAAACGCCACTGTGTTGCACAAAATGACACGAGGCCGCGTGTACATGCTGATGCGCAACTAAAATGTTTATGGCAGAGAGAAGCTTTAGTGAGAAAGCAGCTTTAGTCAGTCCCGTACCCGTTTTCTGTCCCAAGAAGGTCATGTTGTGGTAAGCCTTCTCGGCGGCGGCCAGGTGAGCCAAGGCGGCCAGCAACGCGGCCCAGACGGCGCCGGAGCTCCTGCTGCTGTTCTCTTTCTCCTTCTCCACGTAGTCTTTGGCGCGGTCGAAGGAGAACACGCCGAGCTGCGCGAAGAAGCTTTCCAGGATGGCCTGCTCGCGGGGTACCGGCCGGAGCAACGGAAGCTCCTCTTCCGCCGCCATCGCCGTCGAGCGCTCGCTCGCAGCTAAAGAGCGAATCGAGCCAAGTCGCGCTTTATCAAGGGTCGCAAATAAAACGCCATTCGTTCCTCTCGCAATACTCGCTCATAAGTATTTTTTCACCAGAGTGCCTGAAACCGCATTCAACAGAATTGAAAATACTTCCGGTTTGAAAACAACGAAAGCGGATGCGGAAAACAAATCACCGCCATGTTGTCGTCGTAGAAAACTACGGCGAGCCCAGAGGGACAAAATATTAAGTCGCGCCGAAGCACACCGACAAGTGACAAATGAGGATTTTTCCTTTTTCCGTCCCACTTGAATGTTAATTTTTCTTCAGACGTGTTACCACAGACGCAAACACTGGACCCGGACTCCAGTTTTTTTTTTCTTTCTTTATGATGGAACTATTGAAATGTTTTTGGCATGTTGTTTTGTCAATATGTTCAGGTGTGTGTTTTGTGCATACCGAGAGCATCAGTGCAGTGCTCGCATGGTGCGTCTGGCTTCTTCTTTGGGGTATCCCCGAAGTCGCAGCCTGGATTGACAGACCGATAAGGTAGCAAACAACTCAAGTATTGAAGTAACCCACTTTGAAGAACCAGATGACAAATGTGTCCCACAGCGTGGCTGAGTCTGCGTCATTTTGGATTCAAATTCCTCTCTGCGGTAATCCGGGTGTGAAATCAATGGGCGTCCTAACATTCACTCGGATTTTCTCGCCGTTCTTTTTTTTTTTTTTCCCCTTTCCAAGCTGTAGTCTTAAATTTTTGTTCCCCCATCCATGAACAGAGGTTATTTTCATATGTGACAGACTGCCTGCTTGTTCTGTTGTCGGATTGTGTAACCGTGCGTTTAGATACAGACGATGATGGCGACCAGCGTTTTAATCGCAACTTCACCATCAAACCGCAAATGAGCAGCTGATGGCCCGTACCGAGAACATGAGAGGATTTTCAGGAAAAGCATCCCACAGACACTTCCCACTGTATACTCGCGACAACTCTTTCCGTCAAAAAGAAAGTTTGTCAGGTTAATCGTCGTTGTTAGTAGTCTGTGTGGAAAAAATCTGCTGCCATTTGCGATCCTTTCTGCCAAATCGTGAGGTAGACTTGAATAAAGTCATTTAGCTTTATGCTCACGAGCATGCGAACCGCTATCAGAGGGCGAACGAATAGCATTGAGAATTGTGGGGCTGTACTCCAGTTAAGCAAGTACACAGGCAATGTCTGCCTCGCCTACAGACGGATTTCTGACGACTCAACTCAACTGTAGTTCTGGAGCCATTTAAAACAACAAAGTGCTCTACGTGGAGCAAAAAGAATTCATGAAATGACAAACAAGAAAATGAATAACATTGGAGAAAGCACCAAATCAAGTCTCAGGCCGAGTTGAATTTTAGTGGAGCGTGTTCATGCATTTCAAGAAAGGGCTTCAAGCTTGTCGTTCGCATCAAAATGCTGCCGTCAAAGTAAAGACAAAGTGCATCGCTGCACACACGCAATTCTAGCGGAGAGCAGATCATTTTTTTGCCATGAAACCACATCGGAGAGCCACAGGCCCATGGTCTCGAGTTTACAGAAGTTCATAAAAGCCCCACATTTTCACGCTGGGAGCCAAAACAGAGGCGTGCTTGTGCATGGAAAATAGCTCCTTTTTTTTTTTTTTTCCACGCCGTGACCCCTTTGCCACGTCACGTGACTTCATCCCACTTGCTGCAACTTGAATGTTGAGCTCCTCTCAAGATTTCCTTCAAAACATTATTGGTTACGCCTTTGTTTCATTCCAAAATACCAATCGAGGTTGCGCTTTCAAATGCTTGGAATTTTCGATCACCGACTTCCTGCCAAGTTGGAGACGACGAACCAACGGACCGAATTGGGACTCGTTGCTGGGCCGGTGAAGGTTATGGAACCTCATCGCCTTTGCTGTCGTAAGACTCTGATTTGAACAAATCTGGAAAACAACATCAAATAAGCAATGCTGTGACCGGCCCGCCTTCAGGCGTGGCTTCACGAAAAGAACAAGAACGCGCAAAGCGAAAGCAAATGGAACGCTCCACGCGTGCCGTGCGGTAACAACAAGGGGATTGCGGAGGGGTGCCCAACAAACAAAGTCGCTGTCCTAACTGGGATCGACGGACTTGCAAACCGCACTCGCCACAATTTGCACTTCACCTTCATAAGAGGAGCTGAGCATCCCACCCACAAGCAGGACTGGACTCCAAAGTGCTCCTTGCACACACAGAAGAAGAAGAGAAGAGCATCCTCCTCACCGCTGCTTGGCGGAACTCGGCGGTAGTCCCACCTGGGAAAAACACACAGAGCGCTTTCAACACCGAAAGTGCCACCAGATGGAGGTGAGGCAAATATCAAGGGTGTCATTTACTTTTCACTTTGACCGAGGGCAGTGCCAAAAGTCCAAAAACAAAAAGGGAAAGTGATTTTACCTTCACGCATTTAAAATAGAGCATACGAGATGTTCTTCATCCTTTGCCTCACAAACGATGGGAATCATACTGAAGGCCCGATTTGTGAATATTCCCATCGCCGTAAAAAAGAAACGTGTGCTTTTGCATTGGTGTCCAGACTTTTGGGAGGATCTGTCCTCGACATGCATGAACGAGGGCCGTTGCGATCCATCTTCGATGCTGCCAATTCCGAGACCGATTATCCACGAGAGATATCCGCCGATACCACTCCGCAGGGCAGCGTTTTTGTTTGGTTTACAGACGCGGGGTGTCATGGTAACGGGGCAGAGGGCACGCGACACTGCCCACAGGCTGAAAAGTACAAGTTGAGCGTGATCGCCAATCAAAGGCATTGATCGACATATGCCGATCACATACCTTTCCGCAGAAATCAAACGTTGAAATGGAAATTCAATAGACAGACAGTGAGCACGCAGTTTCTTCTCATGACTTTGGGACCTGTGGAATGAAGCGATCATCCAAACAACAAACAGCAACAAAATTCAATGAAATAATCACAAAACTTGAGAAACGGTTCCCTCTGCCACGTTCTCAGTAAACGCGGCCATTGCGTTGAAGCCGAATTTCGGTTCTGTCGCTTTAAAAACAACTGGCTTTTATTTGCGCGCGTCAGCGGAAGTTTTTCCTTTTGACTTCCGGTAAGGTGCGTGCACTGTCGTCCGCCGCAACGACAGTGTCCGCCTGACGGCTCGGTTTTTTTTATTTAATTTAGTTTTATTTTTTGGCGTGTGTCGTTTTGAAGATCGCAGTTGCGTTTGTTTTGGTTCGCACTCCCGTTAGTAGCGCCAGTGTTTTGTTGCCTGATGTTTGGTGTCGAGGGCAAATAAAAGTGACAATGAATCTTGTCAAGCGCGGTGAGTGAACAACAAGCTCCTTCAAGTCATTGTTTTCCGCTGTATTCTTGTTCACATGTTCTGGAAACTAAAGCGCTTTGTGACAGCTGCAGCTTTCCGTTTGTTTTTGTTTTTTTTGGGGGGGGGGGCGACCGACCGACCTGGAAAATGCTCATTGAAATTTGAACGACACCAAAATGTGCGTTTTCGAGATGCTGCTTTTGCAACTCGCGCCTGTGTGAGGAAAGGCTTCCCATCTGAGCGGTCCTCGTGGTTGTCGAATCAACTGTGGCCGTGGCTGGCTGCTCGGAAGGCGTTTGCGCGCCGTGCCGTTACGAGGGAGGGGAGCGGCCGGCCCAGATATGCGATCGATCGATATTCGAGGAAAAAGAGAGGCCCCTTTCGCGCCTAGACCAAACGTCGATGCAAGTGAGCAATCGGGCAGGGTCCCTCAGCCAGGCCCGCGGGGTCCTGAGATGGGCTCACGAAGCGCCTCACGAGTTTCTATTTCGAACATCGACTTGTGTGCGCCAGGGTAAATAGTCGGCGTCTGAAATGAAAAGTCAAAGTTTGAGCCGTGCCATCTTTGTCGCATTTTGTTCTCCCGCCCATCTGCGAGAATCTCACCCGGGATTGTTGGAGTTGATGGAAGGTTCGCAGCCTTTGAGCGTCAAGGTTTTGTTTCCCTGCTTTGGGTGCAGAGCACGACGTACGGGATGACCTTTGAGGCGGGCGGCCCTCCCCTGAAGGACACCTTCAAGATGATGAGCGACATGATCCTACTGTGCACCACTTTGGCACTTTCCCTCTTCTTCTGGATGCTTTCCCTCACACTCAGCATATATTCCGGTCAGTGCCCGAGTCATGCCGTTGACTGCAAACGAGTGCCAAGTTCACTTCCGATTCAACGGAGGCGATTTAGTTTTTGTTTTTGCAGCCCGAGCTTTGACAAGCCATGTTCTAGACAGTTCCGCGGACTAATCTGATGCACGGTTATCCAACAGGCCATAAAGTGCACGCCTGATCACGCCGCGGCGTTGAAGGGCCTTCATTGATTGACTGAGGACGGAGCACAAAGAGCCCTTCAAGCCGTTGCGAAAAGAAGGAAAATCGAACCGTCATCCGCGCAGCTCGAGGCGCTCCGCTCGGCCTGCGGCTTTTCCATGAATTCCACCGCAATGGCCAGGGTCATGGGAGCCTCAGAAATTTAAGAGGGAAAAAAAATTAAGACCTCAATAAAAATGACGCGGGCACGGTGGTTTACCCGTGACAAGTTGCCATTTTGTGCTGCGAGCAAGCTTGAGATCAGCTGCAGCTCAATAACAAAGTGGAAAAAAATGAAGGCACTGCGATGCCCATGCAAAAGGGCAAGGAGAGCCACCATCAAACAAAACGCATACATCCAACGTGCCGGCCGTCGTGTTGGGCGGTTCAAATCGTCTTTTTACCTGGCAGCCACTGGCTGCTGCAAAGGAGGCCAAAGTCCACTTGACAGCGATTACATTTGGAAGACTTTGATGCGCTCACCATCATGATCACGACATCGTAGCCCAAACGCAAAAACGGTGCGTGCGTCGAGTCCTTTGACAGTCAAAAAAAAACAAACATTTGGGCTTTTTTTGTATTTGTACTTTTGTTTTTTCAGTACTCACCTTAGGGTGCGCGTGTTTACGCAGGGTCGTTGCAGCCAGTCCTTTGACAGTCAAAAAAAAAAACATTTGGGCTTTTGTATTTGTACTTTTTTGTTTTTTCAGTACTCACCTTAGGGTGCGCGTGTTTACGCAGGGTCGTTGCAGCCCGTGTCGCCATGGCGATGGCTCTTCTCCATCTTGGTCCCGGTGGTGCTGACCATCCGAGCCCTGAAGAGACGCAGTCTGGATGCATCGGGGGCGCTGGGAGGTAAGACGGCGCCGTGTTGACTTACTCAGTGCACTGAGAAACGTGGACTCGCATGACATTACGAATGGACTACTTCATTTCTATCGCGCTGGAAAACAGTGACATCTCCTTCAAACGAGTCGATTTAATTTTGAAGTGCAACAAATTTGGATTTGGTTGAACTGTCTCGTCAGCACTTTTTGTGGGCTTCGTGCTGACCATGGCCAACTTGAGTTTCTTCTCGGCGCTGCTGGCCTTCTTCGTCACATCGTCCAAACTGACGCGCTGGGGCGCGGCGCAGAAGAAAAAGATGGACGCCGACTTCAAGGAAGGTGGGGAAACGGCCGCTGTTTGCGCGGGCCGTCCGACTTCTTACGTGGCTGCCGTTTGCGTCAGGCGGCCAGCGAAACTGGGTGCAGGTGTTCTGCAACGGCGGCGTTCCCACGCAGCTGGCGCTGCTCTACATGATCGAGGTGAGTGCCGGTAGAAAACCTGGAAAGATCCAGAAGCAGAATTGTGGAATAGTGCGAGGACTGAAGGCCGGCGTTTATATCGCCAGTTCACAAACCATATAAATGCTGTTACGTCCCGTTTGCAATCAGCCATTTTGGCGACACACGGCCTCATTTTTTTTTTTTTTTTTTCCCAAAACCACATCCCATTTACAAATTCACAGACACACGCATGCCACAAGAGGGCGCCAATGAATTGAAGCTCATCTGCCATTTGAGTTGGAATTTCAATTTTTTAACGCCAAACTACTTTTAGACTGAAATTTTACTTCAGAAAAATTGCAGAGGTTTAATTATTGGAATTTAACCGTAAAAAATGCTATAAGTTGCCGAGCGTGTGGTGGTTTTTGCGGTGGCAGGTGGGCCCCGGCGAGATGGCCATCGACTTTGGCCGGCAGTACACAGCATCGTGGATGTGCCTGTCGCTTCTGGGGGCGCTGGCGTGCAGCGCGGGTGACACCTGGGCCTCCGAGGTGGGGCCCGTCCTCAGCCCGTCGCGGCCCAGGCTCATCACCACCTGGCAGGAGGTCCCCGAAGGTGAGCGAAAAAAAAAAACAAACCCCAAACAACGAGAAAGGTTTCACAGGGTTCCCAAGCAAGTGTGGAAAACAAAACTTGGACTGGACTGGAATGCCTGCATGCTCGCAAGTGTGTCATTTGGACAGGAAATGAACACGTTTGAACTTTGCCTGGCAGGAACCAACGGCGGCGTGACTCACGTGGGCCTGGCGGCCAGCTTCCTGGGCGGTCTGGCAGTGGGTGGGGCGTACTTGGCCTCACAGGTGCTGTTCTTGAGCGAGCTTCAGCAGTGCGCCCCCCAGTGGCCGCTGGTGTTGTACGGGGGCGCGGCCGGCCTGCTGGGCTCCCTCCTGGACTCCCTCCTGGGAGCCAGCGTGCAGTACTCGGGTACAGAAGCGCGCCATCGGTCCGTCCGAATAAAGGAAAAGGCAAAAGGTGTCACGGGTTGTGTTGGTGTGTCGGCAGGTTTCGATGCCAGCATCGGGAAGGTGGTGAGCTACGAGTCGCCCACGACGCACTGGATCAGCGGCAGACCCATCCTGGACAACAATGCCGTCAACCTCTTCTCGTCCGTCCTGGTGGCGCTCGTGCTGCCCGGGATGGCCTGGGGCTTGTGGCCGCACTAGGGAGACATTTTGTTGACAATGACAAACAAACGAAGACCATAAAATATATTTATACACTTCTCCAGGAGAAACAGAACTATTCTATTTCCGACTTAATTTGTGCCGTTTTGTGGATAGAAATCAAGCGCCGAAGCACAGATGGGATTACAACGACAAAACATTTACAAAACAATCATGTCTTGAGGTACAAGTTTAATTTGCTCCGTGACCATCCTCGCACAAGTCAACTTAACTCACAGAAATGAATAGAATGCCATGAATCTGTTCCAGGGGGAAAAAAAGAAAAAAAAAAACCACACATTGTAGTAATTCGTTTTTAAGGAAAATGGCACTCTACAATATCGGATTTCGAAAAGCATTATGAAATAAAACGTAAAAATTCAACAAGTTGATTATTTCATGAGAGTTCATTCTGGCTTACGGATCTTGTCCACGCGGGCTGGGGCACTCCACAGGAATTGGATGTTAAAAAAAAAAAAAAATAGCTGAACCCAAGTGGAAACTCAAGACCTGATGTGTCAGGTGCAAGGCAAATCAACCAGGGAGAAAAGTTTGTGTGCCCTTACTGCACTAAGGGCGACGACCTCCTTCGGGTGCAAATTGGTTGTTTCCCCACAAAGCTTCGTGGTTGCTTCTTTCCTCACCGTCACCTCGTTCGACGAGTGAAGGGCAAAACGTCACGGGGCTTCAAGGCTTGTAGCGTGTAAAAGTGGCCTTGGAAAATCAAGTCTCGTTTTGAGGCGCGCGTCAGTGACGCTTCATTGCAGTGCCGATGACGTACACACAGAAGGCGGAAGTGCAACGCCATACACGTCCACTTTGGCGGCGGCTTCTTATCAAAAGTCCTCTTTTCTCACTTTGAACCCCACTTGACGCGTGTCTCCTATGACGCGCAAGTAATATATGCATATAAATATGCAAAAACTCGCTCGTCCTCCAACACAATACAGTACACAACACAATACAGTACCATACATGAAATGGCAATGCCACTCACCTCTCTCATGGACGCTCACTGGAAAAGGCACAAAATAACCCCCTCCAAACACCAACACCTCGTTGTAAATCTCTTAACAGGATTGTATTTCTTGACCCCCTTCTTTAAACCTTGTAAATTTGTTTTTTGTGCTCCGCTTCTTCCTGGTGCGTGTTTTGGTCACGTGACGCTACCTGGCCCACGGAAGCCGGCAGGGAGCTCACCCAAATCTCAAGAGAGTTACGTTAAATATTTTCTGTATTTCCTTTGCTCTCTTTTCTACCATTAAATGATGATGATAATGATGATGATGTCACCCAGTTATTCAAACCATGAAACATCTGTGTTGTTGAGCCTAGCCGGACGGATTGTTGAGTTTGTTAACATATAAAACATCGATCACGGTCAACATCGAATTCACGCCTATTAAAATGCTGTTACCAAAGTCACGTTTGGATTACTTTGAACTGGTCTTTCAAATACCAGTTCGACGCAATTTGAAGGAAGAAACGACAACGAGGCCGCAGGAAGCCAACCGGAATGGTGGCTTTTGTGTTTTTGGGATCTGGTCTCTGATTGGTCGTCGGAAGCCGTCGCACCTGTCGTGCCAGCAGAACTTTGGCAGAGTTCGTTCTGCCGAAAGTGGGCAGGCCAATCGCGTGGGACGTCAAAGTTCGAGGAACGGAGGGAGGGAGGACGGAAGGAAGGAGGGAAGGAAGCAAGCAAGCAAGCAAGGAATCGTGAAAAGTGTCCGGGTCCTCGATCGGCCGGTCCTTACCTGCGCGGAGCAGCGCGGCGATGCGTCATCTCCGTCCTCCGAGCCTGCACCTTGAGCAAAACTTCAATTCCGCGCGCACAAAGTAGTTCGAGAAACTTCCTGTGTGCTCAGCCAGCCATGTCCTCCGAGCTGCAACTTTGGGGAGTTGACATATGCGAGGAAGATTTGGCCGGGGCGGACGCCTTCTCCGGCTTCCAGCGGTGGATCGGTCCGGCCGGCTCCCCCGGTGGCTCGCGGTCGGCGTCACCCACGCCGCCGCCGCCTCCTCCTCCTCCTCCGGCCAATGACAGCGGCGACGACGCGGCCACCCCGAGGACGTCCATCGTCGACTGCCTGCTGGTGGAGCTGTACGACACGTACAGCACCAAGAGGAACGTGGACAGCTGGGACAGCTCCACCGAGGCGTCCGGCCCGGATGCCTTCCAGGGCCGCTGCAACGCCGGCTCCGGCTTCCTGCAGGAGCTCCAGGAGAAACACACCAGGCGCCACCAGGTCAACTATTTGGCCCGCAAAGGTGAGCGACAACGACACTCGGTCAGGTGGGCTCAGGCCTCCCCCAAGGCCTTCAGTCATCCGCTTTGGATCACTTTCCAGTCGCCGGATTGGAGTTGCACTTTTTTTTCCATTTTCAACTCAAGTCTGCATTCAATCGCGTCGGTTTGACTGTTTGGTTTGTCCCTGCGCTTGTCCTCCGTCAAAGTGATGGTAAAACGACTCTTGCGGTCATCTCACTGCAGTTATTTTCGACGAACGTGCATGCGCATAAACAGTCTTTTGTTCGCACATTTTAAAGGCTCTATGCCGAGTATGCAAATGTGTCCGTGTTTCATTTGCACTGTCGTGTAACAAAACAGGTACGACCTAAACTGTGGCCCATTTCCATTTCAAGGATTCAATTGAACCGTTTTAGAAGGTTCTTTGAAGTTGCGTGTGTGTGCGCGCGCAACGTGTTGAACTTATGGCTCGCAACCAAAGTAAAGTGATCATAGGGAGACCAGAATGAGCTGTCTGTCGTGCACACAAACGCTTCAGCGTGTCAGAAAACAATCATGTTCATGTCACGCCCCCTGCTGGCGTGCGAGAATCTCCACAGCAGCAAGGCGGTGCCAGCCCGGCAGATCAAGAGATTTTTGTTTTCTTTGGATCAGATTGGAGCGGCCCAACTTTCCCGAAAAACATTTTGGACATGACTAAAGACTAACGAGCGTGCTGACAGTCGACATTCTTTTGTGGGCGGTCGCTGTTTGCCCCCGGTCAAGTGAAACAATGCTAAGTGTCAACACCCAGCGTTGGACTTCCCGAGCTGCTCACAGGCGCAGCATACTCAGCATCATCATCATCATCATGTAACACGACAGCTGATTTTTGAATCTCTCTGCTGCCTGACTGAAAATGTAAACCGTCTTCTGCTTCGATGCAAAAACACGTTGGCCACTGTGTCGTTCGGATCGACTTTAGTCGAACAAGAGATGATGGAAGCAAAGCTACTGGACAAAACTAAGGATTGGCTTTTTTTTTTGCCCTTCCCCGACAGAGCCCGAAGAGCTCCGCGCCATCATCCAGGAGGTCAAGTACCGCACGAGCATCCAGTCGGCCAAGCTGATTCGCCAGCTGAGGCGGCGGGACCGATTGGTGAACAAACTGCAGAAGAACTACGACATCATCACCGCCTGCCTTCAAGCCGTCTCCAAGAAACGACGTAAGGAACGCTCATCGCGCTCATCTTGATCGGCCAAGTTAAGAATGGAGCTTTCCAGTGTGGAGGTCAACACAAAAGCAAAGCGATGAAGCAATAGAAAGACGACTGGTAGTGCGCTCACACCGATCCACAACAAGCGATGCGACGTGATGATTAGGGGGTCAATGTGGAAGCAATCATAATAGCTTTGGATCTCTGCGTGGCCTTGCAAGGCACCCACTCAAAAATAACGCACGTGGTGAAAACAAACAACAAATAACAACAAAAAAACAAATCGCTCTGTGCTGCCATCTTGTGCCTGTAATTTGATGAGCAAGAAACTAGCCCTGCGCCCGACGAATAACAACCAAATGGTGGCTTGTCAAGTCGTGACCGTGCACTTGCGAGCACACCTGCACCCCCCCCAAAAAAAAACAAAAACGAACAAAACTACAGATAACATTTAGTATTAGTTACACTTTTGTGAATGTGGTGTTTTTTGCTGGGCTAACAAGGTATTTATTCACTTTTTTTAATGAACATGGAACTACAACCACATTCAGAACCGTTGACTGTAGTCATTAGGATGGCAACCTTCAACAAAAATGGAATGAGCTCACCCCGGTGGTGCATTTCCTCCTCCTCCTCCCCCCGCTGCTGCTGCTTCCTGCATCCTCGCGCCTCCTCCTGATCACGTGATTAAAAAAAAAAGGATGAAGAGGAAGAGGTGTTGAGCATCATCCGTAAAATCGGACATTTGGGGACCCAAAAACTCGTCTTCTTATTTTTGCGGACGACGTGAGATCGAGCGGCCGCTCTCCCACCATGAGCTGACTGCACGTCGGAGCGGTTCGGGGCTCAGCATGCGGCAGGAGCGTCTCGGCGGCGGCGGCGGCGCCTCAGCCGCGCCCACAGCAGCGTGCTGAAGAAGCGCGACGGCATCTCGAGGAGCGCGCCCAGGCTCCTGTGCACGCTCGAGCCAGGTGACACGCGCGCCGCCGAGAGTCGTTGCGGCCGTGACGTCACCAAAAACAAGCGCCGTCGGACCGCTATCAAAGGGAAATAAGACATTTTAGCGCGGAGGGAATCACGAATCTCACTCCTCGCTCTGTCATTAATACAAAGGGGTTGGCTTGGTTTTTTTTTCTGTGTGCAAATGTCAACAAATTCGATGTGGAGGGGTGTGCCCAATGTTACGACTGTTGAACGGCGTTAATCTGCGAGTGATTGACAACCAAAGGGGATTTGGCGTGAGCTAATCCTGTCCGAAAGCCCCGCGCGGGCAAGCAAGAGAGAGAAAGAGAGAGAGAAAAACAAAGTCAACAAGCAAGCAGCGGCAATGACGGACAACGTCGACGAGCGAGCGGACGAGGCCGATCGAGCAGGTCGAGCCACTTTTCGACTCATTCGAGCGCCACTTGATGGAGAGCGGACCCCGGGCTCCATTTTTATTTCCGCCTTTTCAAATAGGGGGGGGGGGGCCCTATCAATGTCGCGAGTGGGCTCGAATTGAAATGGCACTCTTCATTTGTGGCACCGCGACGTCGAAGGACGGCGACACTTCCGAGTTATCTGCGCGTGCGCAAACAGGACAGCAGCGCCGTCTTGTTTCTTTATTTTCCACCCAAATTAACCATTTTTTAAACTTTAGCTCAACATGCTCACGAGTCCTTACACAGTTCTGTATTTAAATTGACATACTAGCATTTGCAAGTCAAGACGTGTATTTGCCCCCACCCCCCCCCACGACTAATTTGGGATTTGTTGATGTTGGCAGGAGTGGACACGAGGCTGAAGTTCACCATTGAACCGTCTGTTGGGAAGAACGGATTCCAGCAGGTTCAAAACTCCGACAAACAACATACATTCAGCCAACCCGACGGGATCGTTGCAAAAATCATTTTGGAATGTTTTCAGAAAACAAGAACCGACACAGCAAATTCACCAAACGGAGTCCAGTTGCCTCCATTTGATCTTTGTAAACGATTGCACATTTATGTTAACGAGTGACCGCCCATATTGCAAAAGTTTGACCATTTGTCTACTTCCCAAAAAAAAAAAAAGGCAACAAATTGACTCGTCAATTTACATTTTAGCGATTTTAACTTGTGTCATGAAATAAATCCAAGCAAAGTCATGAAATCATTGCTTGAATCATCGGCATCACGTGGCGTTTGTGCGCTCCGCAGTGGTACGACGCCCTGAAAGCCGTGGCCAGACTTCCCACCGGCGTCCCCAAAGAATGGAGGAAGCGGGTGAGTCGCACGCAAGCGCCCCACGAGCGACCGACGCGCGCGCACTACTCACCGTTGCGCGTGTGCGTAGGTGTGGCTGACGCTGGCCGACCAATACCTCCACAGCATCTCCATCGACTGGGACAAGACGCTCCGTTTCGCCTTCAATGAGCGCAGCAACCCGGACGACGACTCGCTGGGCATCCAGATCGTCAAGGTAACCGCAGCGGCGACAAAAGTCCTCAAGCGCTCTTCGGTAGAGAGTCGTCGCTCGGCACAAAAGGATAGCCCCAAGCGTTTGGGCCTCTGACCTCGCAGGACCTGCACAGAACGGGTTGCAGTTCCTACTGCGGCCAGGAGGGGGAGCAGGACAGGGTGGTCCTGAAGCGGGTTCTGCTGGCCTACGCCCGCTGGAACAAGGCGGTGGGCTACTGCCAAGGCTTCAACGTGCTGGCCGCGCTCATCCTGCTGGTGACGCAGGGAGACGAGAGCGACGCGCTGAAGGTGAGCGATGACGCCGACCTCGCCGTGACTCGCCGCGCCTGCCTGATGATGATGATGATGATGTCATCTGCAGGTTATGATCTACCTGATTGACAAAGTGCTGCCTGAGAGCTACTTTGCCAACAACCTCCGGGCACTGTCAGGTACGCAAGCACAGACACAGAACTTTTTTTTTTTTCTTCGATTGGCTTCAAGGAAAAAAAAGAAACGTTCAGGCACATCGGGCCTGAGCACGCGCGTCACGTGACCCGCGCGCTGTCTCCACCAGTGGACATGGCGGTGTTCCGAGACCTGCTGCGCGTCAAGCTTCCCCGCCTGTCCCAACACCTGCACCACCTGCAGAAGGCGGCCAATAAGGAGGCGGGAGGTATGACATCATCGGGCGCCCGCCCTTCACTCTGCGGAGGTCGAGCCAAAACATCCCGGCCGTCCGTGTGCGTGTGTGTGTGTGTCCGGCAGGCAGCTACGAGCCGCCGCTGACCAACGTGTTCACCATGCAGTGGTTCCTCACCATGTTCGCCACGTGCTTGCCGGCGCCCACCGTGCTCAAGATTTGGGACTCGGTGTTCTTCGAGGGCTCCGAGGTGCTCTTCCGCGTGGCCCTCGCCATCTGGGAGAGGCTGGGAGAGTGAGTGTCAGCGTTTTTCCCCGGCGTGCGCCCGCCGTCCGCTCAAGTTGCCCAACTCCCTTCCCGTTGCGCGCAGGAGGATTTTGTATTGCCAGACGGCCGACGAGTTCTATAGCACGATGGGTCGTCTGACTCAGGAGATGCTGGACCGCAACCTCATCGATCCTCCTGACCTCATCCAGGTAGACGGACGGGGGGGGGCCGCAAATGTGAAACCTGGAGGCCGTTTCAACAGCCAGGCGGGAATCTCTTTCAGGAGGTTTACGGCATGGCGGTGTTTCCGTTCCCTCAGCTGGCCGAGCTGAGGGAGAAATACACGTACAACATCACGCCTTTCCCTACCTCGGTCAAGCCCGCTGCAAGGTGGGTGTGGGGGCGCTCTCGGGTGTGGGAAACGGGGGGGGCCTGCCGGTGACTCGTTTTGTGCGATGTCGTCGCCAGCGGCTGGGAGAGCGACGACGAGACGGCGGAGTTGGACGATGAGGACGCGGTCATGTCGGCGCTCGGCTGTTTGGGCCCGCTGGGGGGGCTGCTGGCGCCGGAGATCCAGCGGTACCAAAGGCACCTCAAAGGTCAGCCGAGATCCGTGCGCGCGCACAAGCGGGTCGACCCGCGTGTCGGCGCAACCCCCCGCAATGACGCACGAGCCAACGCCGTTTGCGTCCAGACCAGCGGGCCGAGCAGGGCGACATCGCCGAGCTGAGTCCGGGCGCGGTGGGGGGAGGAGCCAGGGCGGAACACCAGGCGGCCATCAACGGCATGATGATGGAGCGCATGAGCACCGACATCCAGGCGCTCACCAAGCAGTACGCTCGCATCAAGAGACGGCAGCAGCAGCAGGCCACGCAGCTTTGCATACGCGCAGGTGGGCCACCGCGGGGGACGCCGCTCGGGGCGGGGCCGAAAGAGGGAATTTGACAGCACCTTGTGACTCGCAGGCGCCCACGTAAGCACAAGTCCCGGATTTCTGCAGAACAAACGCAGCCGTGGCGACAACTGCCACCGACGTGACGGTATTACTGCCAAACGAGCGCTTTCGTGGCACAGTGCGCTGCAAAAAAAGAGAGAAAAAAAAGCACAGGGTTTGAGAAACATTTTTTAAAAAAATGGACATGGCAAGATTTCTTTAAACAAATCGTAAAGCGAACACACACACACACACACCCCAATTTTGCCCACCTCACCTTCTCTTTTGAGGACAATGGAGGCTGTTTGGGAACAACTTGCTGCTCTCTCTCTCTCTGCGCTTCTCTGCCTTTGTGTGACTCTTGGAGCGTCGCCATAACTGCCGCCATTTTCTGTTTTGATTTGGCTCGAGACTAAAATGCAAAACCTTTTTGCCAGTTGAGAAGAGTTTGTATCCCGCTCGCTTGAACGTTTCTCTCGCTCTTCACCTTGCCGCAGACAAGTGCGCCGCCACCCGCGTCCTGGCGTCCCAACTCAACCCTTCCAGCAGCGCCATCAATCATCTGCTTCTGGGTCGGAAGCCCCGCGGCGCTTCCAGCAGCGTCGGCTCCGCCCCGCCGGGGGCCCGCGCCTCCGCCCCGTCCCGCGCTCGGGGCTCTCCGGCCAGGCA